GATTTAGTGGACCTTGTCCAGATGGAGTTCCCATACTTCTGCCTGCTGAACAGTGCTATTGAACCTCTGACCTAAACACGGAAGTTTACCCCAACTTCAACCTTTTTCTTTTTCCCTGAGAGCATGCATGTAAATTAACATACTGTAGTACTGCACTGTAAAGCTAAAAAAGCTTCTTGTAACAGGATTGTCATCCAGGAACCATTCCATGTTTATCAGAACAAATGATATACATGTGCCAGATAAAATGGAAAAAAACACACTTTTTCAAAGAGACCTTTTTTTAAAGGTGAATGCTGTTTTGCTGTCTCTTTGAGCAGCTCCCAAATGCAAATTAATGATTTTCACAGACTAGAACAAAACCAGTTCTACAGCCTCCAGCAACTGGCCTAACTGTGTTTCACTATGGATTATGAAAGTTAGACACATTAGCAAAAAAAAAGATTACCAGAAATCTTTTAACAAGGGAGTATTTCATTCTTTAAGAAGCATATAGACTAGAATTATGTCTTGTTGTGTTAGGATCCTTGTATCTGATTTATGCATTTGCTGTTTGTAATCCCATTATATTATCCCATTTTTGTTGATGGAGTCATGTAAATGACACATTTTCAAATTAGGATGCCAAACAATTTCAATGTTAATATTTATTTAGAGCTTAAGAATTTTTAGAAGCAGAAGTCATATTCAAATTGGTTTATTTTGATTAAGATTGTTTATCTTAAAAAAAACCATGTTTTCATATTCACGCATTATGCAAAAATCTCAGTGGCAGAAATAAAACCAAAAAAAAGGGCATATAGTGGCCTTGTAATACACTTATTAAATTCTATCAAGTCAGTAGTTGGCAAGCCACTGGCTGCTTATTACTGTTTTATTAAGCAGTAACTAAGATGAATTTGGACATTGAATTAAAAAATATATATATATATATATATATATATATATATATATATATATATATATATATATATGTGTGTGTATTATACATCATAATCTTTTTAATATGTTGGTGCCCATTTTTATGCCCTCATTAAGTCTTAGCAAGCCAATAGATGATAACTAACTGATCAAGCCAACAACTCCAAAATAACCAGCTGCCCATTACTACAGTATTAAGGAGTAATAAGGCTGAATTAAGAAGCACTTGCAAGGCCCTTATTATGTCTTACTGAGACCAAGTCAAGAGTTCCTGCTTGCTGCTGATGAATAGTGATCATAATAGTAATCATAATGTAGTAATATTCTACCAGTTCATTACTACTGGTTTGTTAAGCCTTAATAAATGCATTATAAGAACACTACAATTTCCTACTACACTGAAAGTAATAAATTCCAGTTAAAATAAAACAGTTTAATGGCACTTTTTGGCAATGGCAGTGATTTTTTTGTCTGTGCTTTGTGACGACTTATGTATATCACATGCATCAGTACACTGTAGTTTTCTCTGGTTGCAATGTGTATTCCTGTCTGTCTGATCCATGATCTAATGCCTGTTCTTGGATAAGCCTAAAGAAACTTAGCTTATGCATCCTGGTACTTATTTTGCAGTCTATTAGACTAACTACAAATCATTTGTGTTATGTAATCTCATTACCATCAACATTTCATTTTAATTTTGTGATTTTTTTTTAATCCTTGTTGCTGCATTTTATAATTAAATTCAGTTATATGGGAAATCTTATTCAGACTATACTAGTTACTAGCATGAAGTGTCTAGATCCAGATCTTGAGTGTGACAGTCGTTACTGTAACACTTTATAGTTGGGCAGTGTTCATAAGTCCAGTGTTCATAAGTACATTGGATCATCATTATAACCTACTCTACATAAACCTACATAAACATTTAGAATGGCTTGTTCTAAAAGGTAACATCTGTCATGAGGCTGTTGTTTTTAGCTTTAATGTCAAGTTGACATGATACCTAATATTTTAGATGACATCAATTTTTCTCACTTTAGGTTGGCCTGACACTCTTTCGGGATGACATTATAGCAGCTGAGTTTGTAGCTTGGCATATATCACAGTGAAATACCTGAATGTTGATGATAAACACGTATGTATCAGAGCTTAAATCATTAAAATGACAGTTACTTTACCAAAGCAAGTTTAATTTAACCAGTCTGATTCGGCAAGCACTGTGACATACACTGAGCTACAAAGTCCATTTATTTCCAGAAAGTGGACACAAGCTGATATCAGAATATATATATATATATATATATATATATATATATATATATATATATATATATATATATATATATATATATTCTGACATAGGTGTTATATCAACATGATATCAAAGCTGAGAAGTACAGAAGTACATGACACTGCAGTGACACATGGTGGTGGTGTGTTAGTGTGTGTTGCGCTGGTATGAGTGGATCAGACTGCTGGAGTTTCTAAACACTGTCCACTCACTGTCCACTGTATTAGACACTTCTACCTTGTCAGTCCACCTTGTAGACATAAAGTCAGAGACAATAGCTCATCTGCTGCTGCACAGTTTGTGTTGGGCATCTTCTAGTCCTTCATCAGTGGTCACAGGACGCTGCCCACAGGACGCTGTTGGCTGGATATTTTTGGTTGGTGGACTATTCTCTGTCCAGCAGTGACACTGAGGTGTTTAAAAACTCCAGCAGCACAGCTGTGTCTGATCCATTTGTACCAGCTCAACACACACTAACACACCACCACCATGCCAGTGTCACCACAGTGCTGAGAATGATCCAAAACCCAAATAGTACCTGCTCTGAAAGGGATGAGCTAAAGACAAAGTCAGAAAAACAAAGCAAGTTGGAAACACTTGTCAGAAAAGACAATCAATGGAAAACCACTCAGTATGCTCTGTAGACAGGAGCTTTACTTCACACTGAATGAATGAAACAGACCAGTATTTAAAATGAAACAGAAATGAACAACACGTGTAAACAGCCAGTATTCCGGTGGTGTGGAATGATAGAGTGGCTTGTGATTGATGGTTGTAGGTGTGGAGGACATGTGATCTCCCATGGACTCCTGGGACATGTAGTTCATAGACTCAACAGAGCCAGCCAGTGAAATACAGAGAGGATTGCTTCAAGCCATGTCGTCGATGGAAATTACCGTTCCTTGCTACAGCGGTATTGAATAAATCTGTTGCTGAAGGTGCTCCGCTGTCTGACCAGTAGGTCATGAAGGGGGTGTGATACATTGTCCAGGATGGACAATGGATATTTTTCTAATAATAATTATTATTTAATGTCCTTTTCATGATCACCTCAGAACTGTCCGGGGAGCATCCCAGGACAGAACCTGCTTTCTTTATCAGTTGTTGAGCTTCTTTGTTTCTCCAGCTCTAATGCTGCACTTGCAACAATACACTGGTAGAAGGTCTCTAACATGTTAATGCAAATATCTACCCCTTAAAATCCCAGGCTTATTACATTACTAAGGCTTGTTACTCAGTAACTACAGGGCTCTCAATGCAAATTAGTTGAGATATTCTTAAGTAATAGAAGTGTACAATAAAACTTTGGGCCTACTGGTTGGCCCTGGCTATTTAAGAGGTTAAAGACCTGAATCTGCTCAGAAAGAAAAGACTACTCATCCCCGTCTTGTACACAACCTCTGTGTTGACCCTCCAGTCCAACCTGTTGTTGAGGTGGACCCCAAGATATTTGTAGGTGTCTACCAGCTCAACATCCTGTCCTATGGTCTGGCTTTAGTCATCCTCATCCTCCTGAAGTCAATGACCATCTCCTTGGTTTTTGCCCCATTGAGGAGTAGATACCAACAGTAACAATATACAGGGAGATTCACTCAACAGAGGCCCCAAATATTCTGTTGTAGCTCCTGTTAGGATGAAGCAATCTGAACCAAAAAATACACTACATAACTTGACATATGTGTAATCGACTGCATTACATGCGATGCTGGAAGTGATCTCTGTTTTCTGCCAGACACATGAAGGGGTACGGGTGGTACGGACCCTGAAGTTGCAAACAGAGGTTAAACGTCATGACGGCTGTCCGGCGCCTACCTCATCGCTCCGACGAGGGGCATCCGGGCTTGTTCGAAGCTCCATATACTGAGGAGCACATTGCACATTGGTTCATTCAGATTGCTTCGTCCTAGCAAGAGTTATTACAGAAGATTCAGGCCTCTTTTGAGTGAATTCCCCTGTGGAATATATGTTATTGTGTATAGGAACAGAAGCTTTGATGCTTAAAATAATAAGAATGGACTCAACATAAGTCTACTTCTCTCACCTACTGTAAGTCTCTTGGTAAGACTATATATATAAGATATTTAGGAGCATGTGAGGAACTACAGAAAGATTCACTCGAAAGAGGCCCCGAATATTAAGTAATAACTCTCGCCAGGATGAAGCAATCTGAACAAAACAATGTGCAATGTGATCCTCAGTAGTATGGAGCCAGGATGTCTCTGCGTCGGAGCGATGAGGTAGGCGCCAGATGGCCATTGTGACATTTAACCTCTCTAATGCTTGCTGATACATTCAGGAACATAGAGCACCATCTTGAAATGTGTCTGGCAGAAAATGGAGATCACTTCCAGCATTGCATGTAACGCAATCGATTACACACACGTCAAGGTATATAGAGTATTTTTTTAGTTCAGATTGCTTCATCCTAATGGGAGTTACAGCAGAATATTCAGGGCCTCTTTCGAGTGAATCTCCCCTTAGATATTGCTGATCTCGAGAAATCTGACTAAACACATTTTTTATTGTATTTATTTATTTATTTATTTATTTATTTATTTATTTTTGCAGCATATGGTTGACCACTGGTGCAAGCCAGATTGCACCACTGATGCTCCGCTGGTGTTCATTAATGTTTAAGCCATATCAAAAACACAATATGCTTTACTTTCTTTTCTTTGTTGTCTCAAGCTAAATTCTCTGTTGTAAAACAAAGAGCCTCAGTTATTAGTCTGCAGAAACCGGCCAGAGGAGAACATGACAAACACCACAGTCATTGCGGCCACAACATTTGACTACAGGCTATGAGCTCCAGACTCTTCCTAAAACTATATGCAGATAGTGACTGGATTAGAACTGCATTATAATACATAAAAAATAGACGTAGGATGATTTTGCGACTAAATGTCCTCCTGCGTTGAGCTGGACGCTTCTTCACTGCTGCTGTCTTCTGTCAGTTCTACAAAGAGAGATGAGCTCCTTTCTGTCATGTGAGTGTTCACTTTCTCTAATCTAATCTCAGTATTAGCTTTAAGAATGTCTCATTTAATTGCTTTGTCGATAGAGCAGAACCAGTAGCTGGTACTGGTCCTGCCTCAACATAGCTGACCAAACCACTCAGCTAATTAACAAGCTAATTCCAAGCCCCCCTCTGAGGTGGGTGTGTTAGAGCAGGGGAATCGCTAAAAAGTCAGAGACAGGGGGTTTTACAGTTGGGAACCTAGAAGGTGTGGAACATAGATTAAAATAATGTATGTCAGTAAAATATGTCTTGGCAAGTAAAATCCTGTCAAGATATCTGATATTTCTCATGAGATTGTTGTAAGAATATTATTGTTATAAGATTATAGGATGTTTTCATGTCTTGATGTTTTGCTTATTTATCTCGGAAGGTTTTTTCATTCCATTGGAAGATTATTGCTTATTTCAAGAAAAAAATACAGATTATTTTGCTGGTTTCAAGAAATTATACTTGAAATGAGCAAATTTATCATCTAATTGTAATTAATCACTAGATAAAAATACTTGAAATTAATTAAACTTAACTGAAGTAAATTTGGCCAAAAATATTTGGTAACACTTTCTATGTCACTCTTTCTAATGTCACCTTTATAAGCATCTATAAACACATTTATAACGTTATAATGTATTCATAAGGCATTATAAACATGGTTATAAATATTTATAAAAAGAATTACACTGGATTACACTTCATAGCCATGTTTATTATACATAATGAATTGTTAATATAATGCATTATAAGTAGTGTTTATAACATGTTATAATGTCAGTGCCAAAGAAGTCAGTCCCAGCTTGGAGAGCATAAAGTAAAGACAAATACCAAGCTAACGATGGTGTACATTACCTTTCCCACATTGGGTAAAACATTGATGGCAGCACTAGTTTAAAATCTGACATTTGAAGCCTGTAATGTGCTTTACTGTGTATGTTTTAGTGTTTCAGTAAATCCTTCAGTAAATACTTCAACTTGAAGCCTCACTCTTAACACTGGAGGAGGCTTTAGTACAGTACGCTTCACTTTACTTAGAGTGGACAAATACAACTTATGAACTCTTATAATTTGTTATGATCAGTACTTATAATGTATTATGTTAACAATTCATAATGCATAATAAACATGGCTATAATGTATTTTTATAAATATTTATAGCTATGTTTATAATGTCTTATGAATGCATTATAACATGTTATGATTGTGTTTATAGATGCTTACAAAGGTGACATTCATAGAAAGTGTTACCAAATATTTTTTTAACAAATCACATGTGTCACAAATTTTGGCACCCTTGTGTTTAATATTTTGTTCAACCTCCCTTTTGCTAACATCACAGCAATTAGTATTCTCGATAAGAATGAAAAATACAGAGAGAGCAGTCTGAGACCACCCCTCAATTCAGAATCCCTCCAGATCCAAAACTTGATTCTGTGGTCATTTACCCATTTTCCTTGATAGTGAACATATATTCTGGATCATTGTCCTGCTGGAAGATTCAACCATGAGCCAGTTTTAGCTTTTTAGCAAAAGCAGCCAGATTTTCATGTAACATCTCATTTTACTTCATGGAGTCATGGTGACGTGTATTCTAATGAGGTTTCCAGGAACTTTAGTAGAAAAACAGCCTGAACACGTCACAGATTCTCCACCAACAGTGTTTTCTGTAACTATGTTTTGAATTTACTTAGTTTAACGGTTAGATTTTTTCTCATCATTTCTGAGAATTAACCACAAAGGCATTTATTCTTGACCTTTTGTGCCAATATTTACCAATGGTGTTGATAATTATGGAGGTGAAAACTGCTTGAAATTTTTTTTTTTAGAAATGTTACTTAATCATAAGTTAATTAATCTTATACTACTCTTACAACAATCTCTAAATGAGAAATATGATCGGTTTGACTATATGGTTTCACTTCACAAGTTATAAGTTTTCATAACGTTTATGCAAAGTTGCTCCTGTGTCAAAGGACTGATTAATATATATATATATATTATATATATATTTTATGTAGCTGAGTGAAATCAAATGGAAATATGATAGCAGAGAAACTTCCTGGTATTCTGTTTGTGTATGTTTGTGTCTTTGTTTACTACAAGGAAACTGTTATCAGCTTCATCAGTATGCAAAATAATAGTAAGAGTAATGCAGTTTCCCAAACACCGCTCCAATAAAAGAGTTACTTCCAGTTACTTCCAGTGATATAATAATTGCAGTAAAAGAAAAGGACTTTTCTAAAAAATAGCTCACATAGAAGTACAAAAGAAGCAGTTCAAAAAGTGATATAAAGACTCCCTGTGTTCAAAAACATGCTTTTAAACTGGTTATCTCCTCTTGACTGCTTTATTATGATTATATAAACTAATATTTGTGGCAAATGTGTCACTTTAGAGCAGACTTCACATTTTCTATTGAAAAAAACAGACTTTTTCAGTACATCTGGAAGAATCGCGGGGCACTACGTAGCAGCTTAGTTTTGTAGATCACAAATGAGACTGAACCTACCACAGTCAAATATGCTAATGAGAGGATTGCAATGTGGTGACCGGAAACTTATAATTACAGAGAGCATGCACTAATGTACCTCACTTAATGTTTAAGATGTAACTCAGAGTTAGAATTAAAATTTATAAATATGGTGTTATTTAAAATTAAGACAGTGTTAAATTTATATTCCACATCTAATAAACTGTCAAATATGGTGTGTAGAACTGTCATATTAGCAGGTAGCCATAGCTTAGCATGCTACAGCTTTATAAACCACTGCCCTTGTTAGCACAAAAGGCTAGATTAGTCACAACACAGGTACATTTGCATCTCCCTGAAGCTTTATTGGTTCAACTTTTAAGGATAATGACTCAAATCTGAGGCAGCAAACTAATTTTTGTGTTCATCCATTAGCTATGCTAATGTCTTTGCATTAGAAGCTAGTGTTAGCTTAGCGAGCAGACTAAAACAATTTCATACACCACAACACAGGCTCAATATCCTCAAGTTAAGAAAATAAAGACTAAAATCTGTGCATATGAAGCCGAGTGACTTACGTTGGAGTAACAGAAAGACAGAATCTAACCTGTTCTGTTGTGTGTTGGGCTAAGTTATCAGGAGAGGTGGTTACCATAGTTTAGTAATTAGGTATGTCATTTTTTACTACATTTTAAAAGAAAAATCTGAACTTTTCACTCACTACATTTTCAAAACATGCTTGTTACTTTAGTTTTAACAATCTATTTTCTATCTCTCTGTCTTCTTATTTATGCATTTTAATCAGGCAATTATAATAGGGCAAATACGAAATACGCAAATCAGCTCTATACTGGAGATGAAATGGGGGGTTGCGAGGTAGAGTAAACCTATGATTGGCTACAGGCCCCAGCAGTGAGCATGTGGGAAAAGCAAAAAAATAAACAGACGAGACAACCGAATCTGCAGAAAGCGACCGCGTTGAGCCAACACTTAATGCACATGATGTGTATGAAAAAAACTGAATTCATGGCCTCACTTAGTGCCAGAGTGGGAAATTGGGAGAGTTGGGAGAATTTCCAGTGAGCCGGTAGTGTTTTGGGCTGGTTACTGTGAGCTCACAGCACAACAATGCACAAACTGTAAATGTAACACCTAAATGTATATCTATAGTAATGTAGGCAGCCCCCATCTCAGATGATACAGCCTTGTCACTGTAAATGAGACTCGAACAGTGTATAGAGACAAGATGAAGCTTAAGTTAGCTTCAATTCCTGTTCCACCTTAAATGATGTAGCAGTTACATTTAGATGCCTGTATTGATGATACTTCAGTGCATGAACACTCACATGTTTCATGCCCACCATGGCAGTATGTTTTAGCTTAGGATGATGAGGTTTAGGTGTTTAAGATTGCTGTGTTGTTTTTTTTTCTCATCTTTGCACATCAGCTGTTTAATTTAACATTCACGTCATCTTCATTTGGGTTGGTCTGCTGTGGCAGTAACCTGTGTTTTTGGCTTCTATTATTATCACGTTTTAAATTTGTACATCTTTAACTTTGTAGGTTTAACTTACACCTCAGCTGTCTGATTTTAACTTAGTTTAGTTATCTCTGTGTAGAAGTTGTGTCTGTGGTGAGCAAAAGGTGTTGCAGTGTTGGTTGTGTTTGTGTGAGTCCAGCTTTCTGATTGGTTACTATTGTTTTGTGTCAGGGTGAAAATGTTGGAATATATAGAGTGATGACTGAACTGATGTTAGGAATAGGCTTTAAACTTATGTAATGACATTGCAAGACATTAGTGGATTTGGTGTGTGTGTGTGTGTATGTATGTGGAGTGGGGGCTGGTCTGCATTATGTAACTCCCAGTCTGAAAACACACTCAAGCCCTGATCATACTTAAAGGAATGATTTGATCTGATGTTCAGTATTGACTGCTAAAATAAAAAAAATCAATATTTTTTTCTTTTTAGTAAAGATTGTCCATCACTATTTCCTGTAAAGGAAGTCAAACATGCAAACGTGTTCAGATGCTCTAGACAGGTGCATTTTGTGGATGATGCCTCCAGTTCTAGTATAGACCATTATGTATGCTCAGTTTGATCAATATGTACCTCTAACCCTCGATAAAAAGAGATCCTGTTTAAAAAAAACAGAATAAGAAATGAAATACTCTTACTTTTTTTACTTGAGTAAAAAATCTAAGTTGACTTTTACTTCAGTGGTTTTTACTTGACTGCTAGTACTTTTACTTTAGTAAGGCACTTCTTAAGTAAGGTGTACTTCTGCCACCTCTGGTTATTAGCCTGCTAAACTGATAGCTATCATAAGCCGTTCTACTTTGTTTTCCTTAGCAAAGGAAACTTACAGGTTAAGATTTAATGGTGATGATTTGAAGATTTCTCTAATTAATTGTCTGTTATAGTTGGAGAATATATATTGGAAAATCAAGTGCTAAAGCTCACAATAAAAAAGCAACTTTATTTTACTTACTAATATATTTATATACTGATATATTTATACACACATAAGCTAATATATTTTCTTTTAAGCTGCATGTGGGCCCTGGGGCTACAAGTAGTCGAGGGCCCTATGAGTGTAGTTGCAGCAGAAACAATGCTCAGCCACTCACCCTTTTAATGAAGGTACATACACACTGCTGCCACCAGTCTGTTACGTTTAGGTTCCAGCACTGCCATTTTTCTTTTATCCAGTATTGCATTAACTTAAACCCAGAATTAGTCTACTAAAAGCCATGGTCAGTCAAGGCTGGAAATATACACTGAGAATGCAGTCAATTTAAAGCCCCAGCTAGCGTTACTAGCTAAAGTAACATTTCACCTTATATTTTTTAGCTCAAAAACAAAGAATAAGAGACATACATTTATCAAAACTGATTCTCAAAAAAACTTTTATTCCATTAAAACCATGAGAATACATTAAGATAGAATACAAAATAAAAAGCTTTCCTGAACTTAAGAAAAACTTGAGCTCATTTGCACTATGGCTGAGCTCTGTCCAACTGGCTAAGCAATGCTGCAGTGGTTCTCCACTAGTTTGTGGTAGACTTTACGAGTTTACTCTGTAAAACTGTAAAACATTACCAACAACTAACTTTTATTACAAGCTAGTTGATATTCACGCCACAGATAGTAAATAAAAAAAAATATATATATATATTTATTTTGTAAATTTTGCTACTTATTTTACTTTTTGAGCATTTAGTTGAGCTCAGCTCTCATCCATTTTGTACCTGGTTCTAGCTTTCGAATCAAATGCTTCTGACAGAGAAGTGTCAATGTTTTGAAAAAGTCCATCCAACCAACTGTCATACATATGAATGTGTGTAAAGATGATCACTAGTCTGTGTGTGGATGGGTGAAGGGTAAATAAATAAATAAATGTCATTTTAAAAAAGGCCAGCCAAAGGTCCTGAATTACTTGGGGTCCCGTGGCTTCAGCCCAGTTAACCCCATGCATGAAAGCTCCCCTGAATATACTTGAGTAGAAGTAAAAATATTATCTTTTATCTCAGGATAGTTATTAGCCACCTCAGATAGTACAGATATAAATTGTTGTTAGGGAGAAAAAAGGCTAGGATGTTTTTTCTTGGGATGTCAAAGGAAAGTGATACTTAACCTATGTTCTGTATGGGGCCCCTGAGACCCCAGAGCATCTTTAACAGCTTACAAAATACCCTTTGCCTTTTTTAATCAGCTTAATACTTCATGACTTAATTAATTTTATGACAACTGCTGATAAACAGTATTTTTATACTAATATTGTGTTCCAAACATCCCCTAGAGAAATTTATATACAACATCTGTTAGGGGTCAAAAGTATGCTTATTTAATTAGTTAAAATATATTGGGTACAGAATAATATAAGAATATTTGGAAGAAAAATGGTTAATTTTGAACTAAATGTAATTTTATTTTACCCACAAAACAATGGGGAGTCTGGGACCCCAAACAGCAAGGCTGTAAATTCAATGTCAACAGAGCACAAAGGTTAAATTGCCAAATTGCCAAACTGCCAAACTCCAGCATTTTACTACACGCTCCTATAACTTAATAACTCAGTTATTCTAAGGTAGTTTGCATTGTAGTCTATGGAGTTATTGAATAGTGAGCTTTAATGTGTAATATACTTGGTATTTTAAGGGTTAAATAATGTACACTGCTAAACCAAATGTGTTTCAGTTCAATTATCATGTGGTTGGATATACATGATATAGTGTTATGCTAATGCAAGTAAGTTAAATACCCTCTACAAGGAACACTCTTCTGCAGATGTTATTGCAAAATTACTGTGTAATTCCAGGGGTGTGCTAACTTTTGTATAAAAATGAATGTACATGTACATAAATATCCAAGCAGACATGCGGAAATATGATGGTGTGTAGATTACTGAGTAATTTATGTATCTCTCCACCAGGGATCACTGCACTCCTGCTCGCTAGAGTCACAAATGGTGCAATTGATTTTAACTGTAAGTAAACTGTTAATCTATGCACTTGCTATGAAACCACATTGACTGTCATCACCATTTTTACTGTGTCATTTGAGGCTTTCAAAATTCCAATAAAAACTCCATATACCATGAGTGAGTGATAGAGCTTTTGACATAAGAAATGCATTTTAGAATGAATGCAAGTATAGCAGTGCGCAAATATCAAACACTTTTTTTCAAGTCAAAATAGCTGTTACAGAGAGTTGTGCACAAATATTACATAAAACCTATATAATAAAAAGTATAATATCTAATGCAACAGTGTTTAATTTGTGTATCTGTCAAGAAAACTTTAATGAGAAAAAAATAGAAATAAAAGAAGACCATTTGGACTTCACTCTCAGCTAAAAAAACGGATCTATATAGTACCAAAAAGGGTTAATTGGCTTGTAACAATAGTGGAACCATTTTAGATGCCATATAGAACCCTTTTCAAAAAGAGTTCTTCATACAACATCTATATAGAACTCTTTTGAAAAGGGTTCTATATCTCCATCTCAATCGTAAGAACCCTTTCACAATGCAAAGAACCCTTTAATCATGTAAAGGGTTCTTTGAGTGTTTATGGTTTTATATAGGACCATTTTCTTTACTAAAGAACCTTTGAAGAACCATCTTTTTAAAGAGTGCAGAACACTGAAATTGGACATCTAAGATGTCAGAGAGGAGACATTTTATGGACTAATGAGTCTGAATTCATAATAGTGATTGCTTAGATACTGAGAAAGTATGGAAAAAAAATATTCCTGCAGATTTCTTTGAAAAAATGAAGGCATGAAAAGAATGGAAGCTAAAATTAAAATAAAGGGTGGACACAAAAATTACTGAAAATAGGATTTTGTATTGCATTTTTGAGGCTTCGGTGTAATTTTTTAGTTAGAATGGTATTTTCCCCTGTAAATTAAATAAATTAAGGAAACTGGTGTCTGATTTTTGCACAGTACTTTATATCAGTTGCAGGGAACTGCGAACAAAAATTTAGACAAATGGGTTTTGGTTGTAAGTAATCAGAAAGTGTAGTGCTATGCAAACTGTACTAAAATTGTGATTGTGTCAGTGTTTTGCAATGTTCAGGTTATACATATGCATTTTCATTCTTTTACAAAGTTATTACAGCCACTGTGTTAAAAACTCCGGTGCACTACGACTGATTCTAATAGAGATGTACGATGGAGAGAATGCCTTAACTGTGGTAATATAGCAATATAATGTATAGCAATAATTTTTTTTTCCTTAAACCATTACATTATGTCAGGGGTGTCCAAAGTCCAGCCCTAGGGCCAAATCTGGCCCTCAGATGATTTCAATTGACTTTTGGTTAAGAGTGTGTTATAAGGGAACCTGGCAGCCAGTACCTTGAAGTTTTTTCTTCCACCTGATGGTGGCAGCAGTACCATAAAATCGCAGTGTAATGCATCGCACCATGGTAACAAAGTTAGTTAAAGTTAAAGAGCTTCTCTTTCTCTTTGAACTTTCAATGCTTTTACAGTGAGAGCCACAGTAAATTGCTGTCGGAATAAAGGCTCATATCTCCAAAATGATAACTTTACAGGGGAAGAAAAAGACATACTTTACATTTAATGTGAGTCAATGGAGCCAGACTTTTTTTTCTGGGTGATTTTAGGCCGTTTCTTTTAGTCCATCCACACAGGCATTTTCAAATCATGTCAAAAACTGAAAACAATAAAAATGCAGACACAAGGTTTGTTTTGACAGCAAAGGACTGTAATAAATTGTAAATGACTGTAATAAATTCAATATCAATAGACATTAAATAAAGCCTGGACATTAAAATACATTTTCAGGGGATGGCAGAGAAACTAAAGCAACTGCAATCTACCCAGGTCTCACAGTACCAACCTCTTATCATGGCAAATTCAGTAGTTCAGTAAATATTAACCTCTTAAGGTTGAACAAAATCATGTTTTTTTATGCTGTTCAATGAGCTCTAATCTTTTAATAAAGTGATGCTTTATTTAATTAAAATGATATTTTTCTAAAAGTAAATACTGGAAAAAGGAATTTACTTAATGCATTAGTTGTGATTTGTTGCTACTTGTAACATGACAGAATGACGCAGATGCTTGTGGGTATAAGTAGAATGAGAGGCTTTACTGATGAAACCACAATCCAAAATCGAAGTCAACAAACAGGCATAGGTCAGATACAAAAAGGGCAAAAAACAAAGAAGGACAAACATAATCAAGCAAACAATCCAAAATGGGGTCAGGCAAAAGGCAAGTCAAAAACAGGGCAAAATAGTTAGCACCAGATATAAACAAAATAGATATGAACGCTCAGTAGCTTTTGGGAAAGAAGCAATATCTCACCTATCCTACAAGCCCGGGCTTTATAGTAAACTAATCAAAGAACAACAGGTGAAACTGATCAGTACTCTGGAGAGTTAAAGCGCTGGTTGGAGCATGAAACTGAGGCAGGAGTCTTGTGATCCCCAGGGGGTTCTCGGAGATGGAGTCCAAGGAGACCTCAGAGTCGAAGGGAGTCGTGACATTCCTCTAATTTAACAAATCAATAAATTGTTTTTAAAAGCGCTTATTGATCCAAATTGCTCTGAATGAGCAATCTAACAATAAAATTGTTATCTTGTACAGTGATAGGAAACACGGTAGCTCACTGAAAGCTCTGATTCCTTACGCTGATGTGTTTCATTCTGACCAGTATTGACATGCACGTTCCATAACTCTGTTGGCAGCAGATTCATATGCATTTAAAAGGTCATCACCAAATTTACAGAATGGAACACCAGCAAGATGCTCGGCTTGATTAACTGCACTGTAAAAAATCGCTCGTCAGATCAACCTAAAAAAATTACTTCATATGGTAACAAGTAAATTAACTATTTTTTTTACACCCAATTAAATACATATGCAATACAAAATAGAAAATACTAGTTCTATTGCTTGTTACTGCATGATGTCATTTTTAGGTTGATCTGATGAGCCATTTTACAGTGTGATTTACATGGTGGCATTCTACACAAAACTTCATATTTTGAATTGTTTGTGGATAATATTTTGGCCATCAGGTATTTGGGCATGGTCTGAGCTTGTCCTATTTGAAAAAATAAGATTAGACACCCTTGCATAATTCAGAGGTTACAATGGAAAAAAAAAAAACGTTCTTTAAAAGTTGCTTTACGCTGTAAAAAATGTCACCTCAGATCAACCTAAAAAAAATTACTTCATGTAGTAACAAGCGACTGAACTGGTTTTATTCAACTCAAAAAATTACTTTGAAAGAATCTGTCATTCAAAATATTTACGTAGGTTGAATAAAACGATTTAATTTACTTGTTACCACAGGAAGTAAATGTTTAGGTTGAACTGACAAGCCAAGTTTACAGTGTAAGTGTACTTGATTCAAATATGTACATTGGCTTCACATAAATGAAATATGTTACATCAACCTATTGTGTAAGTACTTAATTAGCTTATTTAATATTGTAATAATGTAACATATTTCATTTGCATGGAACCGATGTACACATGAATTATGTAGATTGAACCACTTTTACAATGTATTTAAACTTTAAAAGGTTTTTGAAACCTATTTACCAAAATTGTTCTCTGAATGACCAACTACTGGAACTAGTTCTTTCAAGGTATCATGCAAAGAACTCTGTAGCACATTTTTTTTAAGAGTATATGGAACTACTGTTACATGACCCCTAATTCATTTATTTTTATTCAACTTATCTTCTCAGATATTTGCCAGAATTATAACACACTGAGTGATCCATGGCGTAATATTGGCTTTAACTCCGTCTTTGGAGGAACAACGAAAGATCTTAACCTGAAGCAGGGGTGGTACCGCTTCACTGGTATTGGAGGAGATCGCCTAGTGCACTACTGTCCCAGGAATTCTTCTACAACCCCTATATACCTCAACAATAACAGCAGTTCCACACAATTTCAGCTATATACATGCGATGCTCTCTACGGGAGCACCGGCATCGATTGTGCTCAAGAGAACATTAGCACCATAGACTGTGGTGGAGGGGTGATCCTCTACAATCTTTCTCCAATCAGTGGATTGTATGCCTCGCGTGAGTATTTTCTAAGTCCTGAGGTTTGTTTATCAAATTTGCCTAGCTTTTTGAACCTAACATGCACTTAAGGACTGTCCAAAAATTTGGTTTGGGAAGCCTGTCCACACCAAAAGACAGACCGCACTAATCACAAACAGACCAGCTGTCCAGCACTTGCTGTGTGGTATGAGGAAGAATATGATACTTCTAGGTGAACAAAAACAAATAAAAATAATGATATAATAATAGAATAATGATATTAGTCACAATAATATGAGGAAGAAGAAGAAGAAGAAGAAGAAGAAGAAGAAGAACACCATGGTGATTTCTATCTTTCGGTGCAATTTTTTAGAGACCACAACACTGTGATCACAGAGTATAGCATCAGATACAGGTCTGTGATTTGTAGACAAAGAAAATCACTGGTCCAAATAGGAAAATGTGGTCTGGATTCTGCAGAGAACAGCTGTCACAAGCCATATATTCTAAAAATGTGTCAAGGTAAACTATGGAGCCTGTTGGGGACAAAGCATACAGTATAAGTAATAATAATGTGTGGCCATGACTTAGTAAAGCAGGGGAATGAGATAATTAAGCCTGAGCCACAGCTTATGATCTCGTTCCCACGCCTTACTAAGTTGTGGCCACGCATTAGGATCTTGTTTCCACTCATCAATACAGTGTGGCCACACGTTACTTTTATTCATACAGGATGTCACCAGCAGGGCTTAAGAGTAAACTGACTAAAATGTGTTTGTGTTTTTGACACTATCCATTTCTCTACAGGTCATTCATCCTGCAGTAATTCGTCCTGTGGTGAGCACGCACAGTGCGGTTTTCTGTTTGGTAGTTGTGAGTGTAACCCTGGACTCTCCGTACCTGCTGGCGTCCTGTCCACAGAAGGCACCTATGGATGTACAGGTGCAGGCTTTGCTTCTTTAACTCACATGAAGAGAGCTTTAAAATGTTGTCTCATGAAAATGTTAAGATACTACAGTTGGTTTGACAGTATTAGTTGCACTGTTTAAAAGTGTTCAATCAAATGGATAAAATTAAAACACTTTTGTTGGTTACACCCCTCAATTGCTCTCAAGATATAAATATATCTGATATCTGCTACACTGTACAGTTTGTGACTCTTTATATGGCTATAAAGAGATCTCACAATGACACGTTTACATTATAAAAGCAAAGTAGTTTGGCATTAATATCAAGATGACATGCTTTGAGAGTTAGTATATCAAAAAACTGCTAACACTTCATGGCATTTTAAATGATTGTGATATCCAAGTTTTGCAACAGCTTTCCTGGCTAGCTAACTTCTGCATGAGACTTTTTTTCTTTCTTTCTTTCTGACTTCTATTTAACCAGGGTAGTCACATTGAGATTGAAAGTCTCTTTTACAAGTGGGCCTAGAAGGCAGCACACAAAACAATCAACAAAGAAACAGCACAACCACAACCAACAGAATCAAACCAGGTTCAAAACCAAATTTAAAACAAGAACAAACTGAATGATACAGTTCTTTGACAGTCATTTTAAAATTAATAAACTGCTCCAATATCAAATGATTTTGCAGATCATTCCATGCCGATGGAGCCCTGTAACTAAAAGCTGCCTTTCCGTTTTCAGACTGTACTATCAGAACATCCGGCTGAATAGAACTACTAGAAAGTAAACTCGAGACTTATTTGTTGATATGAAAGCAGACAAATATGAAGGAAGCTGACCAATTATTGCTTTATAGACAAAAATTATCCGATGAATTTGTCTTCGCACTGAAAGTGAAGGCCATCCAACCATTTCATAAGGTTCACAGTGATGAGTTCAATATCTGTCACTGTGAACTTTATGAAATGGTTGGATGGCCTTCACTTTCAGTACGAAGACAAATTCATCGGATAATTTTTGTCTTTATTTGTCTTTATAATTGATTCAGCTTTACTAAATGGACATTTATTATAATAAGGTCTTCTCTGCTTTTAAAACAAGAAAAAAAAAATCACTTAGATATGTTGCATTTTTGTAATTAAAATCAGATCTGCAATAAGAATGCTACAATATTGGAATAACTTTAGAAAATTACGTCTAAAATGGTACGTTGGCATACTGAAACAGTGCCCTTTCAAAATACCTCAGCTCCAAAGTCCTTGCAAGACACTGCATATATTCATACATACATATAGAAATACCTAATTGAATGAAAAATGTCACATATCCTCATTCGATCAAAAGGAGTCGGCATGTATGACCATAAAATTAAAAGGTCAGCATATTTCAGTTTGGCAATGGACCCATTTATTTATTTATGTATTTATTTATTTATTTATTTATTTATTTATTTATTTATATTATTATTATTAGTAGTATTAGTAGTAGTAGTAGTAGTAGTATTTTGTGTGTGTGTGTGCATGCATCTACATTTATTATTTACTATTTTCAGATCTCCCCATAAAAAAGTCTGCCGAATGCCAGGTACGTATGAAAAGCTGAATACGAAACAATGTAGGAAATGACACCTTGTCGAAATGACCGATAGTCATTCTATACTGCAAAACTAAAAGCATTTTTTAAAGTTGATTTTTCTTCTAGGCTGACTACACAGTGAAGTGTGTAGAGATCCTCTTGGGTCAGATTCAGAACAGCACAGTGATACCCACAGTTGTGAGAAACCTTTAGTTCAGTCATTTATTTTATGTATTTTGCATTCGGATACCATACTTACATTTTTTTTGTGCTTGGTTAGGTGATCAGGTATACTTTGGATATGTTAATGAATTCGACAATGATTCTGAAAAATGCATCAACTGACAACAACGTACTGGTATTCTATGGAAACTCTGTACTTAATGCAACTGAGAAGCTGGTATCTGCACTGGTGGTAAAAACAAACACCTCTTACTACACAAACATCTCTCTTCCATCAATACGTAAGTGGATAATATATATATATATATATATATATATATATATATATATATATATATATATATATATATATATATATATGATAACAGCTTTTAATTGTACCACATTTTCCTTTCTCCATATAGTTCAAAAGCCTAGTAACATAACAACAAGTCAGACTTCCCTATGGGGATTTTGATAATACTTTATTTTAAGGAACACATTCAGTCATATCCACAAATATCTGAATGTTGACAGAGTGTGTTATTCTGAGTTGGTTTCTAGTGTTGTATTTGCATTTGGAATCTGTTGCTGTTTACTATCAATATGAAGTTGATCTGTGATGTGACTGCCAGAGAAACAAGCCATCAGTAGGCTTAAAATCAAACCAAACATATCGGAAAGATAGCAAAAACATTTGATGTGGCCAAATTACTATTTAAAACTATTTAAATCATTCTTAAAATGATCTCTGGTGAACTCAGAAACATTAAGAGACCCAGAAGGAAAACAACTGTGGTGGATCACAGAAGAATCCTTTCCATTCACAACAGTTAGTGAGATCAAGAACACCCCAGCAGGTAGGGGTATCTATGTCAAAGTCAGCAATCAAGGGAAGACTTTAGAGAAAATACAGAGGGTTTACCCTAACCTGTGAACAATTGGTAAGCCTCAAAAACAGGAAGAACAGATTAGTTTGGCAAAAAAATATCTAAAAAAAAAAATATGTACAGTTCTGCAACACCATCTTATGGACAGATGAGACAATGCTCAACTTGTACCAGAATGATGGGAAGAGAACAATATGGAGAAGGGAAATAACTGCTAATGATCCAAAGCATATCCCCTCATCCGTCAAGCATGGTGGAGGTAGTGTTATGGTGTGGGCATGTATAGCTGCCAAACCTAGTGTCTGGTCATTTCTATTGGCTCCAGAATTCAGGCAGTCACTGAGGTCCAACGAACCGTTAATGCCTGTGAAGGAAACCATTAGGTTTGTCTTTCTTAACCAAGTAGATATGCACCACTGGTCTGACTCAGGATGGCGCTGTAGCAAATTGGTTAACCAGGATTCCTTTGAAATACTGTACAATATGCTGTAGCATATTTGTAAATCTGAAAATTTTCCTAACTTTCCAAGAGATTGGTGGTAAGAGTGAATTGTTAAACATTTCTCAAACTAAAGACAAAAGAGGAGATGTGTAAACCTTAATGTGTGGACAAGCGAAGCTTTTCCAAAAAAAAAGAAAAAAATGAAACTACACATTTGGCTGCCAGTGTAGCATCAGCACCACTATGGTGAGTGAGTTAGCAGCCAGCCAACACTGGAACCCCTCGAATACCAGTGGGTAATTTTCACACTGTCTCCAATTGTGTACTAAGACAGGTCATGATAAAAAAGCTTAATGCATATTGGAAAAAAAACTTGTGTATAATTTTCAGTATGCTGTGAAAAAGAACGACCTGAATATACCTTCGATGTGTTCCTTGAGATAAAGTGTTCTCATGATTTTGATAGGATTGAAGTTTAGCTTATGGCTAACAGTTTAAAGAGTAACAACAAGTGAACAATCATAGTAGATCTTCTTAATCTCATGTAACCAAATATTGTAGGGACAGAAACTATATTAAACATTTTGCAATATTATTGTGTCTGATTTGTATTTTTTCAGAGGCGGCAGTGTTTGTTTTTGGCCCAAATGCTTCTATCTCGGACATTCCATCACTCAACACAAGCAGTGCTTACTTGGATATTGACTTCAATAAGCTTTCAAAGGAGAACAAGGGTACAGCATTGATACATTTAAATTGTTTGATACATTGGGCCTCATTCACCAATATTTACTTATTTTTATTTTTTTTTATGTGTTCTTGAGAAAGGTCCTAAGAAAAAGTCTATAGATTCTATAAGTCTATAGATCTTACCTAAGAACAAATCCCAATTAAGAAAACATTGGTGAATGTCAGAATCTTCATGAAAACTGTGAAAGTGGGTTTTAAAACCAAATTTCTTCTTAAGAATGGTTAGTGAATGAGGCCCATTGTTTTTATTCTTCTTTAGAAGCATAATAGAATGTACTGTCTGCCTTCTTATAGCCCAGATTAGCACTTTTAGAACCAAATGCTCATTCAAGATCCCATGTTTAATGCATAAAATAACTTAAGGAATTACAGATTTTTTAAAATTGATTACATGTTGTTCATGTTCTGTGCTTTAGGAATAGACGCTGTGATCTTCATGAGCTACACTGGCATGTCAAGCTTTTTGAAACCTACTTTCTTCAACAAATCTTCCGACGAAGCTGAAAACTATGATGTCTACAGTACTGACCGTCAAATTTCTCTATAATAGCAACCAACAAATGCCCAGACAAAAGCAATCTGAAGACAGTGAATCTTTTAATGTTACCGTGGAACATTCTGCAGTAAGTTCCTAAGTTGCATCTGTTCTATACATTTTGTGGAGTAATTGTTATGTTCTTGTTAAATGTATACATTCCTGTAGAACAAGTGACATCAGCACATTTAAAGGCATAGAGTGGGGTGGAAAAGAGTAGGTTGGTATGTGTAAATATGTGGCGGCTACTACCGTGGATGTTTTTGCCCAATACATCACAGTGACGGTCACATTCAACTCTTTGAAACGTATTTTCTTATTGTCAGAGACATTGGGGGTTTTGAGGAGAGGCAGGTGGACAATGTCTAGCAGAGGTTTTTGTGGATTTCAGGGACACATGGTGTGGCATTTCTTCCTCCTGTGCTTGTCTCAGTGGATCAGTTGCTTTCCATTTCAAAAATTTTCTTTTATGTCTTGTCTTTGTATATAGATATTCAGCACAAAAAAAAAGCTCTAACTGGTGGCATGCAGTCATATTTTACCTCTAACTCTCATAGGATACTGACTTAGTAAGCTATCATCCTAGTTACAGAGTCAGTGGTCATTGACTCAAAATGTTAGTTTAGGAGCATGATCTGTTCAGATTAATGTCGTATACACCGATCACGCGTAACATTATCCTTGCTTCTACACTCATTGTCCATTTTATCAGCTCCACTTACTATACAGGTGCACTTTGTAGTTCTACAATTACAGACTGTAGTCCATCTGTTTCTCTGCATACTTTGTTAGCCCCCTTTTACCCTGTTCTTCAGTGGTCAGAATGTTATGCCTGATCGGTGCATGTTTCACACTTTTATCTGCTGTGTGAACGTAGCCTTAGAGGAATTGTTAGCTCTTTCTTTGTCACAGCATGAGTGTTTGTTATTAAGATTTACTTTTACATCTACTTTTATATCTAATATTTTATATTTTAAATAAGTGTGTAAGCTCAAACAAGTAATTTCAGTACTAATACATGTTACTTCATAACACATTACCCCAGTACTATGTCTGGATCAATTTAGGACGTAAGGTAAACTTCTGAAAATGATGCAAGGCAGATTTGTGAAATGTATGGAAAATGTTACCATTTCACACCATGTTTCAAATTTTTGTATTCATTTTTAAAATGTTATCACTAAAAAAAACACAAGTACAGTAAATTAATTAAGTGCGATTTGCTTTCTTCTTTTAAATATTCTTCTATGTCCTGGCTAGACGATTGAACCTGGAAGCGAGCTATACTGTGTGAACTGGAGAGATGTTGAATGGGTGGAAGACAGTTGTAAATATATCCCGATCAACAGCAGCCACTCTAAATGCTTTTGTGTACACCCAGGAACCTTCGCTCTCATTATGCAAGCTAGTGGTTTTTCTAAGGTAAGAGACCAGGTGAGATGTATCAAGGGCTAAAAAGGGACATATCTAAGGCTTATTTTTTACTTAGCACTTGCAAAAATCTTCAGAAGAGTATCCTTGACATGCAGACATGAGAATGTGGTTCGACGAGATCACTCACTGTGTTCTCAAGCTTCTCAAATGTGTATTTTTTTTAGAATACTCGTAGCTTGAACATGCTGAATACAGTGGCCGTGTCAGTGGGACTTTTCTTCCTGTTCTTGGCTCTGTTGACCTTTGCTGTTTGTCGGCGGAACCCGAAAGTGATCAACGCGGCTCTGATCAACCTGTGTATAAGCCTGTTTCTGGCTCACCTCCTTTTCCTGCTCACACAGAAATTTCTGCTTGACATAGCCTCTGATCAGGTGAGTGCATTTACCTCTGTACATTTTTGCCAGATATGTCTTCACTCCTGTCTTCCAATAAACAGGAACGCCAAGAGCAGTACTATGCCTGTGATTCATTTCATTCTCTCTCTCTCTCTCTCTCTCTCTCTCTCTCTCTCTCGCTGTCTCTCTCGCTCTCTCTCCAGTTGTTATGTGCAGTGATGGCAGGTGTTCTGCACTTCCTCTTTCTCTGTGCCTTTGTGTGGATGTTCATTGAAGCTGTGCTGCTCTTCATCTTTGTAAAGAACCTGACACAGATCAGACCAAAGCAGATGGAGATGCTTAGCTGGAAATGTTTAACTGTGATTGGATATGTCATTCCTCTGACTATGGTGGGCGTATCTGTTGGACTGGTTCCTGAAGGATACGGCAGTGAACAGTAAGTGCGTTTACATGCACTTAATAACCTGATAACTGCAAAAAAATCAGATTTTGTCAGTAATCAACATTTACATGCACTTGGGTAATCAGATAATGGGGAAACTCCAGGTCTACATGACTCAGGCAGTATTCAGATTTCTGCTTTGCGCCAGTAAACTCAAAGAAGAAGACGTGACGTAAACGTAATGTAGATTTCAATCTTCATGCTGCAGCTTTTTTTTTAAAAACATTGTGCCACTTTCACTGAAAATATGAACATACATCATGTAGAAGATGAAGAATATTTAAACCCTTAATTTTGTCAGGCACGTATTTGGTTTCAGTGTCACTCCAAAAGTGTTTTGCTGCATCTTCCAGCAACGCTGCTTATTTCCGGTACCACAGTCTGTTTTCGCACATGCAAGGGCTGAGAAATCAGAAAGAAATCAGAGTAAGGGTATACTTGCACTGAGAAATCTGATTACTGAGCTAAAATCTAGCTCTATTTATCAGATGTCTTATTCGGATTTCTAGACCTTACTCCTGTCTAAGAAATCGAAGTGTGTTGTTTACATGACCATTTGAATAATCAGACCACTGCAGAAGTTTGATCATGATTGGATTATTGAGTGCATGTAAATGCATTCAGTTTAATTAATCTGAATCAAAATGCTTAGACAAACACTTATATTTCATTGTACTGTCAAACCTGAAATGATTAGAAACACAAACTTTACTTCACAACAGTGACATAACTATGTTATAAATGTATTATTACAAAAATTATATGCTGTCAAGAGTAAGACAGATTTTGGTGCAGTGTCATATCACCATTCATGGCTATTGTAATGAAAGATGCCATCATGTTTAAGGTCATGACAGTTTATGTCACATGTTAATGTGTACTCTTGTTAGCCCTCATGAATTCAAAGTATATGATGTGATGACTAACAGTAATGGTAGCATGGCACTTATATTACTGGACATAATTTGACATGGAAACACATGATCATGGCATGGATATGTCACTGTTATGTATCAGGGCTCAGGTAAAGTGTTAGCAAATGGTAATTTATTTAATGACGTATGCATTGTTCTCTTTGTAGATGCTGGCTTAAGATTAACAAAGGCTTCCGCTGGAGTTTTCTGGGACCTGTTTGTGTCATTCTTGCAGTATGTACAGTTTATGATTTTAAAATCACCTACTCCAATAGGTATACATACAGTGGTGCATTACTGTCAAGCAACATAAAACATTAATGCATTATTATGATATGTTTTAAAGGCAACATGTCATAATTTTAATTTACACTCTTAAAGAATAAATCATTTTTGGCTTGGATATATGGTTCTAGGCAAAACTATTTATGTAGAATCTTTACATTATGTGAAGATTCTTTTAAGTTTGAAAATATTCTTTATATACACACACATTTCATTTACAAAGAATGGGCCTCACTCACCAATATTTTCCTAAGATTTTTTCTTGAATGTCATCCTTTTGCTTTTGACCAGTTAAGACCAACAAGACCAACAAGACCAGTTCCTCACAAGGGGCAATAAGCGATGTGTAAAAAGTCAAATTTTTATATCTGTATAAATACTTAGATATCTCAGAGATATTAAATTCTCTGCATAGAATAACCCAAGAAAAGAAGAAAAAAAAAAGCCAAATTTAAGGCACTGAGCCACTAAATCAAACAAGATAGCTGGCCTATCATTCCGTTACCTAATAATAACTAGGTACTTTCTCATGGTTGCCACATTCATGGCAAAATATTACTCAAAATATATTACAATCTATTTCATAATGACTATGTACTAAGGTATTTTTTGACACTATAATGCTACTGTAATGGCTTAATTTCTTTTCTTATAATCAGGCTTATTCACTTTATTTTTTTTATGATTTTATAAAGGCTAGAATCAAAACTTTAATCTGGAATGGGTAATATCTAAACCTTGCCTTGACCTTCTGGGGTCTCAGGGCATTTTCTTGATTTTTTGCATGTAGTCTTAAATTCGCCTTTAAAGGCTCTTGTATACGACATGATACCCACATATTATATATCAAATGTTCAGAATAATCTCATCTCTCTCTACAATGAGGCCTTTTAGCACTGTCTAAGGAGATAATTGGGCCTGAAAGCTGAAAAAATGAAATCTGGTTTTAGAAATTGTTAATATCTTGAGATGATTTGTCATGTGGATGATTTATTTTAGGGCTTGAAATGGGTTTAGCAAAGTCTTAGGTTCACAAAAGTAGAGGAATTTATTTACACACAGTGAGAGACAGACAGCGTGTGTCTTCATATGCTCATATCTCCGAATGTGAGTCACATATGTTCTCATGTCAAGATGGAAAGGGCGACTCTACAGATTCAGGAACTGTTTGAATTGTATTTCTGTGCAGTATTATTACAAAGACATGCATTGAGACACAGAGAAAGATGTAATTTGACATGTCGGCATGTTTGTAGACCTCAGAGGGTTAACTCCTTGTTGCCTGGTGGAGATGAGTTGTTCAGCTATAACAATAATTTTGTTTATCATGACTATTTTCTCTCCTTTTGCAGTCAAACCTGATCCTCTTCATCAGCATTGGCGTCTTGATGGTCTCCACTCTGAGAAAGCTGAACAATGAGGTCCTGCAGACAAAACTCACAAGAAGTGATAATGATCTTATTAAAAGAGTGATGCTTAAAGTCCTGCTCCAGTTTGTTATCATTGGTTGTTCCTGGATCCTGGGCTTCTTCACAGAGAACAATGAAGTGATAAATATTCTCTTCATAATCTTCAACTCCCAGCAGGGCACCTTCATCTTCTTTATCCACTGCGTCTTCAACCATGAGGTGAGAGATCTCTTGCTTTATTTCTTTACCATTATTCTGAATCCTGATCTTGGCGACTATATGGACAGAGTTTCTCCAGAATGTCCTGTCTTCTGTTTGGGTCTTCAGCCTTTTAGATGGCTTGTGACACTCTAAGTTGCTTTATTTAAATTTGCATTTGGCCAAATCCTTTATATTTACATATTAACTGTTTAAAATGCCAGACTAATTACATGCTAAGACTTATTATTTAGGAACTATAGCGACTTTGGTGCAGACTGGTTGAGCTACTCTTAGGTTAACAAAGTGTGTAATAAAACTCTGGGCCTGCCGGTCTGCCCATGGTCATGTAAGGCAGAGGTGCTCAATCCTGGCCTTGGAGATCTACCACTCTGGATAGTTCAGATCCAACACAACTGGCTCTAATTGTCAGATGCTCCTGAAGCCCTTCATTACTTGGATCAGGTGTATTTGATTAGAGTTGGAGCTAAACTCTACAGGGTGGTGGATCTCCAGGACCAGGATTGAGCTCCCCTAATATAAGGGGTTAAATTTCTTCATTTTCTTTTTTTTTTTGTTTTTTAATTTCATAGACAAAATTCTTGCATCATATAATTAGATTTTCAACAGAAATGAAACTGGTTCTACAATTTCTGCAACAGTGTTTCATTGTTTTACCTATTCTAATCTTATTTATTTATTTATGCTTTCAGATCAGGCAGCAGTACAAGAAGTTTCTGTCTAGTTCTTGCATCTTGACCAAAACTGCTCCTAAGCCATCCAGAAGATGAAGGCTGGAGCACCACCACTACACTCCTGTGCAAAAAAATGGTCAAGACCAAATTACTAATGGTTTTCACTGATGGTTTTGGCCTGGTCAAAGTTCAGATTTAAACCCTATAGAGAATAAACACAAACTAGCTTGGCAATGTTTTTCAGCTGTTTGAAGCCATTAATGCTGAATGGAACAGTACTGACTCTTTTTTCTGTAAAAGTTGTCCTGCAAGTTTCCACACAAAACTTTAACATTTAAATAATTCAAAGGGAAAAGCACTCCCACTCTAATTTACTGCATCTAATTGTTTAGTTCTTGCTATTTCTGACTAATGAAGGCCATTAGAAGTTTAACGTTTTGTCATTTTTGGCAAGAAAAAGTGAAAAATAATGGTATTATTTCTAGTGTGCTATTTTAAAATAATCTTTACAAATGTTTTCCATACATTTTCCATAATTTCCTACTTCATATTTCAGACAGTTAAAACTGTAACATAACCAACATAACATGATTCTGTTATTTCTGTGGTTTTCTGGTTGTAATAAACATAAAAATAAAACTCTATTCTGACTAAGCCTGTTCTTACTCGATTTTCACTAAGTCATCCTAAAGTTACAACTATTCATTCACGATAACAATATTAAAAGCTAAAGGAATAGAATTGTCCAGTTTAACTTGAAATTATCAAAGGAAGTCACAGAGGTTATGGATATTGGATTTCAAACTTGGATGGTCTGTAAGTAAGTGAAAGCCACCTCTGAGGAGGTAAAGCTGACCCAGTCATTCTCCATTTGCAGTGGGAAAACATGTCACAAAGGTTACATAGCTCAAAAAGACACTTAAAATATTTGGCACAGCTCCAAGAGTCAGAATATACATTCGACAGTTGACTTAAGATCAAATGACATATTTCCCCTATGATTTGTTATGTTTCTTTTTTCTTATCATGTTTCATAACCACTCTACATACGTAAAACACCCACATCACAACACATCACAACCTTTGTTTTAACATACACAATATATGTATATTGGATAAACAGATTCAATGTTACTATATATAAGTTAACATTATACTAGATTAAAAAAAAATATATATATTTCATGAATTTATTAATCATTTTGTTTATCAGACAGCACACAGGCTGCCCCATTGGCGGTCAGATGACATTGTGCAAGTATTTAAAAAAGGCGTTGTTCAGCTTTTCTGATGTGATGTGATGCTTTGAGTCACCAGGTGAGATCCTTAATGGTCATGCTCCCCTTTCTGAAATCAACAAGCATCTATTTGGTTTTGCTCACATCGAGGGAGAGACTATTGTTGGTGCACCACTCTGTGAGAAGTTTCACCTCCTCACTCTACTCCTCCATGTTATTATTAATGAGGTCCACTACTGTTGTATTGTCAGCAAACTTCATGATGGTGTTGGAGTTGTGCTAGGTGATGCAGGTTGGTGTACAGGGGAAATCCAGAGTCCAGCTGCAGACTGCTGGTTTTCCTTAGACATCTTTGATTGTGAATGTCTGTATGGGTGTGAGGGCAACAGTAGTGATGGACTGGGCAGTTTTCACCACCTTTTGCAGGGTCTTCCTTTCTCCATCAGTGGAGCTGCCATACCAGATTGTGATGCAGCTCTTCAGAATGCACTCCACTGTGGACCTGTAGAAGTCAGTTTGACTCTCCTCAGCCTCCTGGTGAAATGAAGGCATTGTTGTGCTTTTCTGATGGGATGTATTGAGTGACAAGGTGAGGTCCTCAATGGTTCCTTCAATGCTCAGAGGTGTTTGCACTCTGCTCTCCTTTCTGAAATCAACAATCATCTATTTGGTTTTGTTTACTATGAGGGAGAGATTGTTGTTGCCTCCTTATTGTTGTAAGTGATGAGAAGTAACAACAATTAAGAAAGTAACAAGAGCTAACTAGTACTTATGTGTCACTCTCATTATATGTTGTTACATCCAAGATGTTTATCAGCGGTCTGGTGCTGCCCACTGCTGCTCTCTGCTGGTCTTGTTTTCTTCTTTCCTAGGTGGAGCTACTGGTGTCAGCTGAACTACTCAGCTGATTACAATGCATGCTGTGATTGGTTGCTACAAGAAGATTTACTCTTGAAAAGGGCAGCGATGAGATGCAGTTTGGCTCATGGAGTTTCACCACATGGTCTCATTGACTTACAGTTTAAAAGACATATATATATATATATATATATATATATATATATATTACTGTATTACTTGTTCTCATGTATGTACATATATCATGGGGGGAGCTGGAGCCTGTCCCAGCGATCATTGCAGAACTACATGTATACATGCTTTTTACTCTCTTCTTTAAATTTCATTGAGCCAAAAGATTAATTGAAGAGTCTGTACATTGTTGAGGAAAACATAATTAAAGTGTAACTCTCTTGGGGTTTAATGTTAGCACTGTTACTGACTTTCCGCCTTGCTTTTAGTATTGGAGAAGGCACAAGTATAATTGTGAATTTGTTATCTCATTTGATTGACACTCTTTGAGGCTAAATGTTGGACTGTTTTCCCAAGGATTGATAAAATCTGTTTAATCTTTACCTCAAAAGTGATGGAAGTTAACCAGGCTGAAATGCATGTTTTGTGGATCTTTAAATTGCAATGTAAAGTAGTCTACTTACATTCATGTAGCTATCCAGCATCTACAGGAAATTGATGACTGTTATGGCCCTGTAAAATGCAATGGTCCCACCACCACACTAAGATTTAGTTAAATTAATGAAGTGTATTGTCTGCATAGCAAAGTGGCAGGCAAAGGAACAAATGCTTCAGGAAAAAAAAAAAACAAATTGAGAAAAGGAGTCACAAGTGTGTGAAATGTGCTTCAGTGTAAAAGCACTTTATGAAGGATAAAGTGAGGTCATTTTTATTTTGGCTGTTCACAAATTAAGTGTTTTACTGAAAATAATATACTTTTCACATTTAGGACAGTACATTCATTGTTCAGCTGTCACTAATTTTCCAAAGCATTCTATCTAGCTCTGACCACTCTATATATCCCTTTCGCTGTAGCTGGAGTGTACAGACATCCATCCTCTTTTTATCTGCTCTATTTTGCTGCCTCGGGCAAAATTCTCAGTTAAGAAACAAAGAGCTTCTGTCATCAGTCAACACTAACAGAGCAGGAGAGGCTGTAACAAACACTCACATTGTTAGAAACTAAGACCACAACATTTAACTGACCTCTTTTGACTCTAGGCTCTTCCCAAAAATATTGGCAGGTTAATGAGACTGCATACCTTGAAAAACAGGCCTGCTGGAGAATTACCTTCCATTCTTATGAGATGAAAGGAGGGAATTCTCAATTTTACTGAAGTTATTGTTGAATTTGGTGGCCTGAGGTCTGGCTCACAAAGCAGGATTTCCAGCTAACTTTAAGCTTATTGTGATCCAACCTGGCATTTTCCATCTCATGATGGTAGATTTTACACTTTTTATTAACATGGCAACTTAAATTAAAGAGCTAATCTGACCTGGGGCAGAGTAAGTTTGGGATTTAGGCTCATAAACATCTCTTGAACGAATCAGGGAGAAGCTTCTGATGAATCACTGGGTGTTTTCATAAACACCATGCTATCCTTGCATGCACACCAGGACTAATGACAACTGGTTAACTGAGAAAGTTATAACTGTTGTCTTAAATGAATTAACCACATTTTTTGAGGCTTTGTAAAGCTGAAAATTAGTCATGAACATGTCAAAGTCAAACATACTTTGTGAGGCAGGCCTTTGTAATGGCTTTTGGCAGTAGTCCATCCAGTAGTGCAGTAGTCCAATAGCTAATGTTATTACCATAGGGGAGGGGCATGAATGGTACACACTGCAGGAAGGTCTCAAGTAGTGGGCAAGGCAGGGATTGAAATTCAATTAAATAATAAATAAACCCTATGTACATTATTTCAATATTAATCATATATTTTCACACATTATACATTTTTAATATCAATCATACATTAATAAAGGGGCATCTTATTACTCACTGACCTAACAAAAAGCAACCGTCCTGTCCAATCCAGTCCAGATTTTAAGCTGCTAAGAGTTTGACACTAATGGACAAAGTGAGCAAGTATTTTATCTAGTTTAAACTGAGAAGATGAAGATGTGTTAGGGGTGTGCAATAAAGGCAAAGGCAACAGGAATAAAGGTACTGTTCAGGTCTATTTTTCATTCATCAAGGTATAATCAAGGTTTTAGGACCCAATTGTTTACCTTAAATAAGGTTTTGTTTTTCTTTTTTTTCCAGGTGAAAAGTATATATTTGTACCTTGTCATAACCTAATGTTTTAAAACAGAACAATAAAATAACAAATAACAATAAAATAAGAAAAAAAAAATCACACGTGAACTACATATACTATATTTTTATCAACATACCTTTTCTGTTCTGGTACAAACGCACTGTGTATGTATAAGCCTATGGAGTATTATACAAAAGCTTCAAATGTGACTCCACTGGTCAGATAATTAAGCCTAACTATTCATTTTAAAAATCCATTGCACCACTCACTTTGCCAATGCCTTGTCACTAGAAGGCCAGTCTGCTTACATTTTAATTAAATTATTTTAAAAAAGTGGGATAGACTTTTTTGTGGCATACCCAAATAAAAAACTCTGAATCTAAGTAATTTTCTCTATGAGAAACATGGACAGTGTTGATCTTCACTAAAGTTCTAAAGCAGGTACTTGTTGTCTTGTACATCCATTCCCCCACCCTAAACTTACTGGATTCTCTGAAATATGGGTTTTTAAGGAAACAAATATTGCTACACAAAAGCCAACTCCTGTGCATTGAATTGACAGCCTCACCAAGGTACCCCAATAAAATAAACAAGCTTTGCCAGCATGAATGAGGCAATAATCATATTTCGAATTTGTTAATGACTCCATAGTTCAGAAGATCTAGTGATATTTGGGGGAAAATGTAGGACAAAACATACCAGCTTTGGAACATTTTTGTTCACCACAAAGCATGATGGTGGTGGTTTTCCTGTAGTAAAAACCAGCTTTAGACACATTTCCTTATTCCTTATTTGGGCATGGCGCTGACTACAAAATGATGTACAACTTTGGTTTTCTATGGAAAGATGCCTTTGGTCAGCGGATCAGTTCTATCTCACTTGAAATTTGATGCAATATGAAACCAGTTCAGCCTTTCTCACAGCCGCTCAACATTTTTGCTGCCACTCCCTGTTGAAAATAAGTGAGGAGTAAGATTTTAGCTAACACATTCATGTGCAGTGGATACATACCATGCCTTTCATATTTTCATGACTTCTTTACTGTTACACTGTGGTTTATATGTTCTTCCCCAGCTGTTTTCTGTAGATGACTATTTATTCAATAATCTGT